GTAAGGAGCAAGCAAGCCCGTCAGTTCCTTCTGATGTCTTTGCTAAAAATCCCGGCTACAAAGAGATCTAATTGCAAATGAACTAATTAAGTAAACCTCTGACGAAGCGTGAAAACAATTTGTTTGACCCTGACGCTAGCAGAGGGCTCTTCGACAGCGGAGTTAATCAGTCAGCGCCGGAGCCCACAAGCGGTGTCAGCGGGCTGCCGCGCCGCCATCTGCTTCCTCCCCCCCTCTCGCCCCCCAGGATGGGAGCTGCAAACTCCCCTCGCCTGCTGCCTGTTCCTGCCTGCTCCTGCCTGCTCCACTGGGTCTCTTCTCCTCTAGCAGCAATCTCTGGTGTTTTCTCCTTTTGCACGGGGACCCCCCAGCTCTTGGCAGAGAGACTTTGGGGTGTCTGGACCCCGTTTCCAGGGTGTCCCCCTCCGCCAGCGCCATGCTGTCCCAGCCCGAGAGCGCAGGCTCTCCCCTCCTCCAGGAAAACCTCCCCCAAAAAGGGGAGCACTTACTTGACAAACTGTCCCAAGTCCTCACAGAGGGTTTCGCAGCCGGGCCACTTGCACTCTCCGTGGCCGTAGAGCGGGTGGGAGCTGGGGGTCTCTTCGTGGGAAGAGCTGCAGAAGACGGAAAGGGACCGTCAGATGGGGCAGCCGTGATGCTCCGGTGTTCCCGTGCATGGGGTCAGCCCTCGGGGACCCACGGGAGACTCCGTAGCGATGGCTCCCTGCCCTCCACGGGCACAGCAAAACAGCGATACGACTCGTTTATGGGGTGGGCAGAAACCCTCCAGCCCTCCCAACCCTGTTGCCAGCCCCCCACGTGACAGATCCTGACCCCTTCCACCTCTCCGGGGGTATAAAACCAAAGTGCCAGGGTCCGACCCGGCTCTACCTGTCCCTTCTCGGCGTGTGCATGGTGCTCTGTCCATTGGGCAGAGGGTGATGGGAAATGGGAGGCGAGACCTTGGCGGCCGAAAACGAGGTAGAGTTGGAGGTGTTGGTGGTGAGGTCGAGACCTTCTTGCTTAATGCTGTCCTCAACGGGCTGGGCGGCTGTGACCTCCTTCCAGAGCTGCTGGAGGTCCGAGGGGCACACAGCTACGGCACGGGGAGAAAGCGCCGGCCGTCAGCGGGGAGACGGCGCAGCACCCACCGACACCCATGCACCAGGTTTGCTTGGGACCCCACGGGTTCCCTCCCTGCCTGGTGCAGCTTGGCTCCCCGAAGCTCAGGCGGCCCAGCATGGACCGTGCACTGGGAAATCATCACCCGAAACTGGGCACAGCCCTCCGT